CACATGTGTTATTGCTCCTATTACTTTTAAAAGATCTACAATGTGTTAAACAGAACACTTATAAGGTGAAGTAATATTTGTGTTCTGTTCACCTGAATTTTCATAGGTGAAGATTTTGAGCTCAATATATATAATAAATGTCTAAGTTCAAATTAAATTAGCTCAAATCACTGAAGGTGGGGTTCTTTTAACGACTGTTTTCTCTCACAATAATCTTAACTTTCATAGTCATACGTCTCATATTTTGTAAAACATTTCATTAATGTTTCCTTTGTCCCAGCCATTTGACGAAAGTGCAACATGTATTGGCTTAAACGATCATTTGCCAAAGGACAGGCTTGTACAAATAATGAATTTACAGTAAATGAATCAAATAATGTGCTATAATGTTATTTAAAAAGTCTCTCTCTTCTAAGACTACACTATGAGTTTTCGTAATCTGGGACACAAGTGCGGTTCTCTTCATCTAGCAAGAGCTTAGGCCGAAAATTCCCCAATGAGGAAGAGGACAAGGGGGGAAAAAGCGAAAAACTGTTCAAACTCAGCCATTACATTTTCCTTGTGATTCTCTCTCTGAATTTTTATTAAAATATGGTATTCATCACCCTTATTTTAAAAATATTTTGAATTAGATAAAATAATATATATTTTTAAATAAAAATATAAAAGCACCCACATAAATAATACCATAGAATGATATATGTTTAAACTATTACTGAATTAAACTAGCAGTTCATTCCCAATTATTTTCTACTAAGAATGCATAGCTCACAGGATATTACAATGTTTGTTATTTCCGAATATTATTAACATAATTAGTAGTAAAAATAAAAATGAAAAATAGTAAATATCTGTCAAACCTCGGTCTACTTCAGTAGCTGACCATTGCTATGAAATGAATTATCTATTTTTTTTAAAAAAAAGTACTTTATCCCAGAAAAAATGTAAAACAGATTCTAATCTGTAGCTATATTAATATCCATGACACCAGAAAATATACCTGGCATTACAAATTAAAACTGAAAGAAGTAACTTTAATGCAAATTTAGGGTAAGTGGCTTAGCCAAGTTGTAGACAAATCCATGGAAGCAAAGAATTGTTATTGTGAATACAAAAGTCTATTCTCATACGAATTTGTTTTCACAAGGGAAACAAATGTATTCCTCATTCAAGAGTGAAATTACTACTTGTATATAAGACAAGATATTCTTAATTTCTGTGTTTGATAAATAAAGAATAAACATTATAATTACCAGGGATATTATAATTTGATATGGTTTATAGAGCTTTAATTTTTAAATGTCAAAGCACCAGGGTCATTAGGGATTGTACTTCAACCTGATTTGTAAAATATGCAATGTTTTGAATGTGTGCATGGTTACTAAAGAAGTGATTATTAATATCAGAAATGTCTAGATTAGCATTTGAGATTTACAGATACTTTCTACTATTCACTGAAATATTTGATTTAGAGGAATGGAAATACGATAAATCTCTAGGTTAGAGTTTTAAAACCCAAGGCTTTCTGTAACTTAAAAAAAAATCCGTGAAGAAGAGAGCTGATTATAAGGGAGGAAAGTGAGACTGCTAGAAAATAGACGATCTATGGGAAAGTTAAAAATGAAAAGAAGGTAGCTGAGCGTGGAGTCTCATGCTTGTCGCTGAGGCAGGAGGATCATGGTAAGTTTGAAGCCAGCCGGAGCTACACAGCGAGTTCAAGGCCAGCCTGAACTACATAACAAAACCCTGTCTCAAAAAAATAAAAGAAGAGCCAAAGATAGAGAGAAGATAAAGGATATTTAATAGTAGGCCTGACTCTCTTGAATAAGAATAGCTTCATTTTAGTATTTTCCATAAAGCGATAGTAAAGTATGTCCATGGATTTTTTTTCCTAAATTAATTCTAAAATTTACTTCAAATAATGGAGGGTAAAAGTTATAGGTACAGCATATCAAATGCAAGATAGCCCTGAAAAGTTGTGTTGTTATATTTGTGTTTAATTTTGATGCATTCCCATGAGATAGTTATATATGACTAATCAAGGGTTTCCGCTTTCTAGATATTCTTAGGGCCTTTTTTTTGTTTAATGCAGCGCCTTAATGCTTTATCTACCACCCAGCTTTAAAAACCGCTGGTCTTATTCCTTTCTGTGGGAAAAATGTGATGTAAGGCATCAGTGACTTTTGATGAATTACATTCAACACGTAATGATAATTTCTCCTAAGAGCAGCTTGAGGAAACGCAATCCTGTAGCTACCGAGTCTGCGGCTCGCTGGAGCTCTGCTGCCCTCTACTGTCCTATCACGATACCTGCCTGCCTCAAACAGGTTTCTTTTTATCAAGATACTGGCATCCTAAAATCCAATTTTCTTTGGTTTCACGCACAGGTAAATGGAACATAACTTATGCTACTGTCAAGTTAATTTTTTCAGATCATTTCAGTGTCATACAGAAAGTAACACTCATCCAGCATTCTGTGTTTTAAGTTCAAACATTACTGGGGTCCTTTGCAGTCAGTGGTTGTCAGAAACAGTGGCTAAATATTAGTGACAACTTTCAAAAATAATAGTATTCCGACTGTCAAGCTGGCCTCACAGCCCTTGATTCTGACGGTGTCACCTACGTGGGGTGGGGGTGGAGTGTTAGTGTATATAATTTTAGTGCATTTTTTAAGGTGGAAATTTCACTATTTTGTTTATGTCCTTTACTATCTTAAGATGCATGGGTTCTTGAGTGCCTTCGTCTGAATGATCCTATACTTCTTAGCAATCTAGTTGCTTTATTTTCTTCCAGTTGCATCATGCCTAAGAAACAGTGCCTTGCTGGGGTGCTAAGTTTGAAATTCAGTCCAAGAAAAAGAAATGAACTATAATTCAGACATTGTTAGGTCCCGATTGCACCCTGGTATGGAGTAGGGGAGATAGATTACGACTTATCAATATCACAGTGCATCCAACTTGCTAATCATTTAGCTTTCTGTATAACAAGTAAAAGAAATAATTACTTTTAAATGGGAGCACAAAAGGCATGGCATAGCTGAAGCTTAAGTTTCAAGCTTTGTATCCTCTATATATAATGTATTATGATTTTCAAAATCTTTTTATTAGGAAAGCTATACCAGACGCATAATCACTATACAATGATTAAACATTACCTTTACAATTTATAATCACCGAAATTACAGAATAAATATATGCACATTTCTTTTGAATCTTTGTGTGTGAGAGAAAACATTAAAAGTGCTTCCTACAAAGCGGTTAGTGATATATACCCAGTTGCTTTTTTATTTTAATATTTTATATATATATATAAGAAAGTGCAGATGTTCTCCAAAAAAATCTTGGCATCAGGGTGAAGCGTCACAGAGGGTGCTTCTCCCTAAGTGCGTTTCCACCTGTTAAACCAGCAGGCCTTCGCGACGGTAGGATCCAGCCTCGAATATGACCTCTCCCAGGGCCCTGGCAGAGACACGGAACTGTACACCGAGAGGGAAGGGCAGGTGAGGGTATGGCGAGGAGGGGACTGGGTCAAACCCGAAGTAAGCGGATTGGGCTGCAAGGGATGGCGTGTGCGTGTGCGTGTGTGTGTGCGTGTGCGTGTGTGTGTGCGTGTGCGTGTGTGTGTGCGCGCGAGCGTGCGTGTGTGTGCGCGCGCGCCTGCGACAACTGCAGGTTTAGGAACCTAACTGTATGCAGGATTGTGGTTTGCATATACGAGTGTGTGAGAGACAAGAGATTGAGAACATTCGAGCAAGACCCGCCCCTCCCGCCCCGTCCTGCAGTTTCAGGCATGCAGCAAACTGCGTCGTTAACACATGTACAGAAACTGTGCCATGGTGGGAAGAGACGGGGAGCCGCAAACGCCACCCCCTCAAACAGAACTACATTTAAAGGAGAAAAGTTGCTGAAAATAAAGACACGTTTGATTTCACTTAATCAGGATCAGTACAACGATCCTCAGGATACCTTAGACATGGCACAGTCAGAGTCTCAAGTTTCGGTATAAAAAATAATGATAACATTTGCTGGCAAAAGTCTGCGAAGGCACTTCAGAGATTCGTGGTCTGGGTAGGCCCCGCCCGGCCCGGCGAGAGG